CTTCCTATGGTGGTAAAATGTGGCAAAAACGCCAGGCTTTGTGCAGCCCCCTGCTAAAAATAAGCAAAACCCACAAAGCTAAGATATATAACATGCCAACAACAGTGCAGTGCTGCAGTACGTCCTTTGTGGGTTCCACTCGAACCCACAGGGACGATTTTCAAGCCAAGGGTTCGCAGCGAACCCGAAGGACGGAAGTGTCCGATTCGTGAGTTGGCGCAAGAACATCCACGGGCCTGGTATGGCCTGGTATTCAAAGGGCCTGGCCGGTGCCTCTACAAGGTGGGAGTGGCTCACTGTGCCAGGCCTTCCCAATGCCTAAGACTCTTCCCTCAAAGGGAGGTACCACAGAAAGGACCACTCCCTTGTTCCCACACTGCTTTTACACTGCTTTTGCAGAGCCCCGTTTGATGAGGAGTCCATTTTCTGCAACCCTGGCTTTCAAAGGGGAAGCTGAGACGGACTGGAAGCAGCGCTGCCTTTTCACCAGCCTGACAACCCGGCAACTTGTGGAGTGTCGAAATGGCAAGTCTATGCAAATGGACAAGGCAGTCGAACCCCCCTGCTCCCCAAACATGTCCGCATACTCTAACCCCAAATCCGAATTGAGGGAAGGGCACAGTCACACCCCATGATCTGGCAACCCCCTCCCGTTTCCGGGGCAAACCTCAAGCAGGGCCTCGAAGCGAGGCCAGCTTTCGTTGTCCAGACTTTTTGTGGACGAGTAAAACGGTCCAACCCACAAAGTCACGCAAGTCCACCATAGTGAGCAACAACCAGCTAGCATACCCAACCAATAGGTGCAGCTGGCACACAACTCAGGCCAGTCTGGGGCAGCAAGTTCAGAAGAGTTGTGGACCCTTTCCAGAAGGAAAAGGGGTTCAAATGTTGTACTGTACAAGCAAATGCCCATGCTTGGCATTCCAAAAATACAGGCCAACTATGAAGTATCGGTGATTACGCTCGGGAAGCGGCCCAATGTCCGGCCATACCTGAGCTTGAAATCAAATCTGTGCTGGGCTTCGATGCTATCTGCGGCCTGTTTGCCAGCACACAACTGAAGACTTCTCATAAAACTCCACGGTTGGGCTCCACCCGCTAACTATTGTGTTACTTGGCCCAGTCCAAAAATCATGTGTTCTGGTTCCGTCCCATATTTAGGGATGTAGTCTACCCTAAACACGTACCCTCCACTAACATGGAACCCACCAGAGGGTCGCTTTTGAAGATAAAAGTCTTCCAGAACATGCTGGTGGATTCTGGGTACCTCCCCCATGGTGGATGCCACAAACATCCACAAACATTGCAAAGGGAACGAGGGAACCCCGTAATTTGATTGAATTATTGTCTTCCATATTTTTTTGGTTGGGGGGGGGGGTCAAAAGGGGGCCATTTTCAGCGAGCCCGCAAACCGCTCCTTGAGCCTTGGCTCTTGGAAGCTGCCCGCCTGGATCGCGAAGCTTTGACCCAGAGTTTCAAAAACTCTGTCATGATGAAAAACCCGAGGAGCAACAAACATAGGAACCTAAGTTAAAGCTGTGGTTTGAAGATTTTAGAGTTGCTGTTTGCCGTGTTTGCTTCTTGTTTCCAGGCCTCTTCCAAATGTTGGAGCCTTGTTCATTCTTCTAGGAGCTTCACCAGGCCTCGGGAAAGTAAAACGTTGGTTGAGTTGTTGAGGCGTTTGAGTTAAGTGAAAAGCTAGTGGCCGGCGGAGAATTGAAGGCTGAAAGGTTGTACCAGTTGTACCCTCCAGTGCCATGAAACCGAAAGGGAGGTCCTTGGAAGACAGTGCCTCTCTTGAAAAAACCACCTGATGGGTTCCTGTGCTGTTCACGAACCCCTCTTGAGGGGCGAAACATGACCCCACTTCGGCACGAAGTTCAAATATGAATAATTTTAACATTTGGGTTTCGGACAAGTCAAATTGTTCGTCAACCTTGGCAGAGAAGAAGAAAAAACAGAAAAAATGCTAGGCCCCCCTCCACCCCCCCCTCCCAACCCCGACTGCCTGGCTCTGGAGGCCTGGCCCCATGCGGTACCCCGTTTTGGTCGGTTGAAACTGGGCTACTTCCCTTGTGTTAGACCTTTAGCGGTTTAAGTGGACAACTAGACCCTCATTTCTCAAGAAATGGATGGCTGGGATCCAAGAAAAGGGACAACAACACATTTTGTCGAGTCAGCAAGGGTTCTCAAACTATGGGCACTGATCAAATGGTTGGGTTCACATCTTCCAACAAAAGGAAAATCGATCGATTTGTCACCTGGCAGTCCTAGATTGGGAAACTGGAACTGTGACCCCTTCCATGAATGCTTGCAAAATCGACATCTTCTTGAGTTGCCGGCCCAATGCGGTCTCACCTTCTGGAGACCTTTAGGCCTGTGAAAAAGGAAAACGGCTCTTGACGACATTTTCTTCCGGGGCAACACCTCACTTCCTGAGTGGATTTGCGAGAAACCAAAACCAAACTAACGACCTAATCGCCATGAAGCGCTTAGGGCCGAACCTTTTACTGGGATCGTTGCCGGGGTGTGCGTTGTAACGATTCTGCCTCATCTGGTTGCTTTTTGACCTTTGCTTCGGCCTGCGCACTGACATCCCTACTCAGCTCTTGCAGTTCGAGCCCTTTTTGGAGGGTCGCTAAGACAGAGCCTGTACATGAGCACCTGCTTCTGACTGCCAGGTGCAAGTTCAACCCCGTGCTCACAACATGTTTCAGCGGGGGTTGCCCCAAATGATGGCTACATGATCCCCTCCCCCATGTTTAGGTGGTCATGGACACCACATGTAATCCCAGCCACGGCTGTGCACAAAACAGGATGCTAAAGGGAAACAAATGAAAGGACGCAACCCATTGGAGGTCTAGGTGGGGGTGTCTGTTTTTGAAGTTGGTGCCACTTCTTGTGGCTTCAAAGGGAAGCCAAAGGAAACCAGAAGCCATTTTAGTGGGCTAAAGGGAAACCAAAGGAAACCAAGAGCCATTTTAGTGGGCCCCTAAAAAGAACCCAAACTCAGGTGTTGCCTCAACCAGGCGCCCCACCGGGATCCGATCTGATCCGTGCCTATGGGCCGGGTCGCTTCCCATCGGAAGAGCCGCGTCAAGGACCTAAGCCGAATCGGAACCCGAAGTCTGCGTGTGGTCCATACTTCGTCTATACTCGCAACCCCTTTTTCAGGTATGTTTGTTTCTGGGGTGCAGTTTGCAACTGGGGGGTTGAGAGGTCCGGGAGGATGTCAAACTGACACGGAGCTGGTAATTGTTTTTGTTTGGGGTTCAGTTTGGGCAACCTTGCTCTGTCATGTTTTGAGAAAGTGTTTGCAAATAAACACAACTCCCGACCCAGACCGCGAGGTGTGTTGTTCCTGAAGTTCTTGAGGCGAATGCCGAAGTGTCAAAGGAAGTGGCTACACTGGCAACAGCTCGAACAAGCAACGGAACCCGGCCGGGAGACGCCAGGGCACTTCAGAACCAAAGATGTGTGGGTCCAAGAGTGGCAACATAATAACTTGACTGTTCAATGTAGGCAACTTGTTCTCTTCGGTGAACAGTCCAAAGAACGACCCCAGGGATTGTTGCCAGGTTTGCTTTGCCAGGGTTGCCGGGGTCTCCAGGGTTGCCAGGCGCAACTGGCACTTTGTGCTCAACCACAAAACCAGGGACAATATGGGACAATGACATTGCCGGGTTCCCTTGTTCCCTTCCTTCCGATAGACATTCTCTGGACTTGGGGGCACCCAGGGCGAAAAAAGAGAGGCTCAAGCTACTAAGAGTCACTAAGAACCAAAGGTCTAGGGTACCTTCCCCATTCTTTCCCGGATCCAAAGAATGGAATGGGAATCAACCCCTAGAAACGGCTATTCGCGGTACCCTGACTCCTCCACTTGTCCCGCTCGACCCAAACAAAGTTTTCGTCGAGGCGCTGGGCGTTCACCAGGCGGTTGCCATCGATGGCTTCCAGCATGGAAAGCACCTGGCATGCCTTTCGTGACCCGGAAGAAACAACTAGCTGTGGGTCAAAGATGGGCACCCTTCCTCCCTCTAACATGGCACCTGTGCGAGGTACTTGGAAGATCAATCTCCTCTTGGAGGGTCCCCCTGTCAGCTGCCATGTTAGTGGGAGGGAGGGTACCGAAACGAAATGAACCCTGGCAACTGGAAACATGGACGAAAAACCTGGCGTCCCTTGGTGGTTTGCTCTTGGCCCATACCCAAATGGAATCCTTGTGGGGCATGAAGCCAGCAAATGGGATGGTGTGAGGAGCGGCCGCTCCCCGAATCACGGCCCAATGGAGGGTTGTGCCCTACCGGCCATGGATTGGAAAGCCACCGATCAGGTGTCCCCCAAAATCAAAGAAATTGTGGAGGTACCGCCCTCCACTGAGCAAATCATTCGATTCGCCTGCCCTACCGGGCAAATTTCGCGCCAATTTCTGGCGCCAGTTAGCCACCAGTCTTGAGGGGAATCCCACAATCAATAGACTCACTTGGGAGCTGCAAATCAAATGGTTAACCTTTGGACCTTGATTCAACAGGCTTCAAGTGGACAGTAGGAAAAACAAACACCTGAGGCAGTGTGAATTTCATGTCAGCAACATAGGAAAGGCAACGATTCAAATCTGAGGCAGCAAAAGTAGACCCAGCATAGAAACAACAAGCAGGTGAAAAGTACGTGAGTGAACCAATTCACAGGTGTCAGCGGCCATTCTCGACAGGTGGATAGCACGAGCGCACAGCAGCTTTTTGCATCCGAAGATATATTCACAGATCCCACCAAGTGCTAGCCTCCCCGATGGCATCTGAGAAAAGAATGAAAGGTCATGTTCCTCAGATCTTCTGGTGGGTTCTGCAACATGGGTCTACAAATGTAATTGAGCCTTTCCAAGGGGAGATTGCATTCGCACTGGAACATCATTCAAGAAACATGGAAGTTGACGATCGGATTTCTGGAGGACTAACTGCCTTTCGGGGAGCCGGGGAAGTTCCATGATACAGGCAGATTCTTTCCAGGACAAACAGCCCAAGCTCAAACAGCTTCCCGAAAGGGGCTGGGCAGGAGGGTAGGCGCAGGGTAGGCGCCAGCCCGTCCGCCCGTCCGCCCGTCAGCCCAGCACAGAGCTCAGGACGGCTGCGATGTCTTCTAGCCTTAAGCGATGGCTAGCGATGGCAACTTTAAAGCGAAACAGCCAGAATACCAACTTCAGCTAGCTTGCAGCAAACAGCCAAAATACAAGGAATTATTTGATAAGGATTGCAACAGCCCCAAGGAACCAAGAAACAGAAGTGACGGCAACAGTCCATCAACTAGGGGAACAACCAGAGCCCCCCCCCCCCCGGACCCAGGAAAGCGTCTTGGAACCTGCTCATCGAAGGGGTTCTCAAAGGCGTCGGAATTCAGCCATTGTGGAGGGTGAACGCGGCACTACTAAATCACCCTATCCACCGCAGGCCATGGCCCCCACTTCAGCCCATCGTGGGTGTGTGTGTACCTTTTCTCAGTTGTTCAGTGACCCTGGAAATAAAAGGGAACCCTTCTTTGGGAAGACCATTTTTAGTGGGGCAGCCCCCCTCCAAAAAAAAGTGGGGAAAGGGGTGCCACTGAACAACTGAGAGCAGCAACCCCCCCAAGGTTTCGAGGTGCTCCTGTGCGCAAGCGGAGTGCTGCATGCCCTCATAGGAGGTGAAGCTGACCTTCACCCCGCTCGCCTGAATCACTGAAGCTGGAGACGGCCCTTTTGAGGCCGGTGGTTCAAAGACAGGGGGGTCTTTTTGCCACCTTTGGAGGAAAAATGATCAAGTGAAGCATTCCTTGTTGAGGGGGTCGCCGATTTTCTCCCAAAAGGCGGCAAAAAGACCCCCCTGTTCAAAGAAATGTTGAGAGTTCTCAAGATTGCTCCCTAGCACAGGGGTAGACTTGTGCCCCGGGTGAATCAAAGGATGCTTGCAAGATGGCTTCGAAGAATGCTCCAAAGGTTGCCTAAGCATTTCGTGTAGCAAAGAACTAGACGCAAACGTGATCATGTCTGGTTGGATCCTGGAACGAGGGTAGATTGTGGTCCCTGGTGAAGTTCGGGCAAAGAGAAAGCGTCGTGACGATTCTTTTGCCCCAACGGGTTCAATCAGATCTTGCGAGCCAGAGTACACCTGATGTTCGTTGGCATGAGTCCGAGACAGAACGCACAGAACACCCTTGCTTTTGATATTAATGTTAACTTCGCGTTCCGCAGGACGGTGCCAGTCAGAATTTCCCCCCTTCCAGGAAATTCGAGCTTTGGGGGATTCCTCGTTCTGCAGTCGGGTCCTCCGGATGAACCTGAACTTAACTCTAGTCGACTTCAGCCACAAAAGAAGAACAGAACCAACAACTAGAAACGAAGAAACATGCCAAGAACAGTGAAGAATGTGCTTGCGGCAGTTCATTTCAAGGAAGCCCTCAACAAAAACGGACAACAAGCCTTCATGTGCTAAAGTCCGTTGGGGAAAAGTATATCTGGATGGCACCCCCCGCCCCCCCAGATTCCACAAACACAAGGGGGTTGCCCAAAACAGGTGTCTGGGTTTTGGCCCACACGCACACACACACACACATATATATATATATATACGTGCGTGTGTAACCCCCAATAGTCATGGATTCAGTTTAAAACCAAGGGGCGGAAAAATAGGACATCTTGAGGCTACCGAAGCCAAGAAAGCAACCCAGAGCTCAGTTTGGCCTTCAGCTTCTTCAGGCTGCGCATACCCCAGTCGATGGGCACTACCGGGTCCGCCTGAAGCTCAACAGCCCGACTTGGGCAAGGAGACACGTGGCTTGGTGGGACAAATCACGCACTTCCGTGGATTGGGCCAAAACAGCTCCCAAACTTGTTGTCTGCCCCCCGAAATGGTCTTCCGAAAAGGTATGAAGTCCATGATTCAGGAAGTGGTTGTAGGATTCCTTAGGATTGATTAGGAGGCTTAGGGTTTGTGAGGGCTGAGGGTTCCTTTTAAAGCCTTCGCACGCTTCGACACCTAAGGGAATCAAGGAAAGCGCAAGACCTGACTTCCCAAGCGGATTGGCATGGAACAACACGTCCAAACTGTTTTCCACAAGGACAGTCTTCCCAAAAAGCTTAAAAAAGCTCATGACTGCAAACAAATTAGCATGACTTGACAAGGAGGGCACGTCGCAAGCAGGTGTCGGCCCCGTCGTCAAGTAGGCCTCATTTCTCAAAGAGAAACCATTCTGTCTTCTTTCAGTGGATTCCCTTGGTCACTCACCGGAAGTGGGTCAAATCTGGTTGAATTCTGGGTGAACTACAACAACTCATCATACCTGAAAGGTTGCAAGAAGAAGCCAAAACCCATGAAGTGAGGTCTCGCTGGTTTCGCTTCAAGCCCAGGCTAGGCCCAGTTGGATTCGTGGATGGTTTTTTGCGGCTGGGCATCATATGCGGCTGTCATGTCCACCGGCCATGCTCCAGGGTGTCACCAACAACTCACGGCCAGTTGGGTGTGGGGAGCCACACAATGCCCTCAACAAAAATAAGAACGATACCCAAACCAAAATGCCTTCAACTGAAAAGCATAGTCTGCAAACTAAAGAAGGGTGCCCTCAATACCCCACGCAGACTTCTCTCACTGGTTTGCAAAATTGACAATTTGCCACAAATTTGGGGCACACTTTTGTTTCTTTTCCACAAAGCATCCATTTCTTCAGCTCCACCCCCGTTCTTCCGCGCAGCAAACGGCCCAGCCTCGCCATGGAAGAAGTGGACCTCCGGGGGGTCCTCCAGCTGCCTGTGCCGGAGGGGTGTCCCCGCAGCTGCCCCCGTTTTCCCATCCACAGCCCCTGTTGGCGCACGGCATTTCAAAGGGACAAGGGAACACCGGGGCCATAGAAAATGTGGAGAAAGCCTTTTGTGTGGACGCCCTTTTTTTTGCTGGACGACCTTTGTGGCTGGGGTCCATGTTCAGCCCGAAACCAAGGATTCTTCAATCTGTTCTGATGCCCTTGTGTTGTACACGCTTCCATTCCAACTGGTTTTGGCACATGCCCATGCCAGCAAGCAAACAGCATGCCAATCATCAAGAAAACTAACACATGCGAAGAACGACTACTAGAAATGGGGTTGTCTCAAGATTGGAGGGGGCATCCCCCCGCGACGACCTAGAGACCTGCTGCGCCAGGTTTATGCCCTGCGAGCACGGTGAGTGCTAGCTTGCCCATCTGACAGCCACCCTACTTGCAAGCGTGGTGGGTTGGTGGGATTTGGGTGTTCATCACCCCTGCCTGCAAACAACATTATCTGCTTACTTCACGTAAGAAGTGGATTGGTGGCAACTCTTTATGACTGCTTTCACTGCGCAAACACGGCCCACGGCCTCGGCCAGCGGCTGCCCAGGAAGGAGCTCAAGACCAGCACTGTCTTCACCTCGCCCTTCAGAGCCGCCTGGTTGAAACTCGCCGATCCGGAGTGGTCCGCAAAAGTCACCAGACTGTTTGTTTGCCACTGAAATGGCAACCAAAAAGTGACTAAAGTCCAGAAACTAAAAAAACTCAAGTGAGACAGGGGGCTCCACAAAAAGAGATTTGGAACTGGAAACTGATGGCCTTACCTTGCCCCGGTGCCCTTCCAAGAACAAGCATTGAAGTGAACAGAAGATTCTTCTAAAAGAGAGTTCCTCTTGACGGGGTTGAATATGCACCAACACAGGAGCAGAAACCATCCCCGCCCAAAAACGGTGGTTGGACCTCTAAAAATCCGAGGCTGGAGCAGTAGGGGGAAGCAAGGAAAATGACATCTGGGAGAATTGCGACATCTGTCCCTTGCAAGTTTACTCCAAACACTTCTGCGATCACAGCAAGTTGAAGGGCCTGCGGTGCTTCTGGAACGTGTCTGATGCGCATGGAAAAGGCAGATGACGAGGCCACCTTCTTTCCCCTTAGGGTTACATTTAGCCCCGCCCAATATTCGAGTTGCTGGGCTCTCTGGTGGCGAAAGGGGGATGCGAACATCACGCTTTGAATTGAGCCATCCGCTTTGAGGCAGGGATGCCGAGCCATGAAAGTGCACGAGACCCTGTTGGCGCGCCTTCCTCTAAGGAGGGCCCCAGCTTGTTCAAGCCCGAGCCTTCGTGAGATCCGTGAGGCAAAAACAAAAAAGACGGGCGACATGTTGGACGAAACTTCGGGGCAAAGTGCGAAAGGCTCACAGAAACAAACAAAAGGTTGGGCATGCCCCCAAAAAAAGAACCTACAACCCCCCAAAAAAACCGGAACCAAAGACCACCACAAACCACAACGAACCCTCCCAACCATCGTTATTGCCAAATCTTCTTCACCCCTCAAGCTGGGAGTGGGAGGAGTCAAACCGTAAGAATCCAACATTCTCAACGACACGGTTGCAAACAGTGTTCCAAGCTGGGCGCAACTCGGTACACAAAACTAAACATGCTCTGATTCTTTCCGTATGTATGTGGCCAACCTCAAGAGGTGGGCATTATTGTTGTTTAAATAGGGCCCTTCTGGTGGACATCGAATTTGGGCTGGGGTTTGTGCCCACCAGCCACGTTTGGCTTCCCTATTGAGTTTCTCAATTCCCAAGTGGACTGACAGAAGCACAACTTTTTGATTACTTTGCGTGACTAAAGTCCGAAACGGAACTAAAAAACTCAGGGAGTGAGATTAGCCTAGCCACAGTTTTTCCATGACACTAGAACAATGTCCTACATCTTTGGCCTGTTGGGCAGTAGGCTACAAAGGGAAACCCTCCAAACATCAGGAAAAGGATCCTATCAGCTTACAGAACTTCCGGAAGCTCCGAAAAGCTCCCCCTTTAAAGGCAAATTTGGATGCCCTCAGCTAGGTCCAGTAGAGAGGTTCGAATAAGGGTACCAACTTTTTCTGTATTCTATTTTAGTAGGGGAACCCTCCCGACCAAAAAAGAATCGGGTGAGAAAGTTGGCACCTAGCTGGGGATCTAGTCAGCAAGTCCGGCTCCCTGTCAACCACCAGCTGGTATCATAGGCAAACCGTCCACGACCCCCGGCCTCCAGCACCACAGCGCCGCCCTGGGAGAAACCGGCCAGCACCACGCGGTCTGGAGGCACCCCCTTCTTCACTTCCTCCTGGACATAGCCAAGTGGGTGTGGGTCAAAATTAAACCACCGGGGGACCGCAAGTTTTAGTCCTTGGTTCCATTTACCAGGGTTCCACTTTGGGTACCTATTTTGACCCGCAGCTAAGTCACGGCTTTTGCAACCTTGCGAAACTTTCCAACCCCTGGAACGTGGTTAGTGGCAGCAAAAGGGGCGACACGCAACCACCACTGCAAAAAACAAAAACAACAACGCAAAAAAGTGCACTCTCCTACAGATTGGCCCTGGAACTGAAGAAAACGCTGGTTTCGAGGGACCTCGCTTTGAAGGTTCCGCGTGACTCGCCTCCCAACAGCTTTTTGCGCCCAAGAACCGGTCCTCCACCAAGGCGAGCACGTAGCGAGCGGACTGCTTCAGCCCCGGAGGGTTCAGCTGAAAGTTGTTGGGGTTCAGGGAGTTGATGTCGAACCAGCTGGGCATCCACATACCGCCGTTCACCGTCACAGGCCTCACCAAGCAAAACAAAACGCAAAAGTGAGGGGCTGAGGGGTGGGAGGTGGAGGGGCGAGGTGGGGCAGGTTGGCTGCTTCGCGACTTGTTCCCCACACTGGTCATACAAGAGCCTTCCTATGAACATACACAGTTCCCCTGAAAGGTGACTAGCAGCCAGCCTTTGAAAACCACTCCCTTCTGGCAGGCTTAATAGTACTCCGTCCGCACTTGGGTTCCAGTACGGTGAGGGCTTACCTTTGCAAATGGGGTTGATAGTGCAAACCGAGCAAAGTCATGATCATATAGGATAATCTTAGCAGTCACGCCAAAAGGAAAACCACAACGCATGGGGTCCGCAAAAAGCAAGACGCACCCATGTGAGCCACAATCAGAGCCCGGTAGTAAAATAGTCCGCCCATGACCATGCAAAGATTCTTTGAAGGCGGCTGCACCCATTTCTGGTTGGGATTTTCCTTACCCTTCATCCACCCTGGTGTTGATTGTGGCCCACATTGTTGTTCCCAAGCAACGCTTTGCGCCAAGTGGCTGCTCCGCAGCCGTGGGGAAGAGAAACCGTACCTGGATGCACGGCTTTCAAAGGCTCAATGCAAACGCCCACATATGGGTGCGTCTCCAAATTGGAGCCCCAGCTACAATGGCTGTCCTTTGGACTTTCCCTTAAAACTAACCAAAGAAGTCACACAGACACAACACATGCTGCAGCTGGAAACATCATTGGACAAATGAGGGGGGCAACCAGTGCTAAGTGAAACAGCTGCAATGGCCATGCAGACAATTCGGGAATGGCTGGGAGTTTCCGGAACGCAAATCAAGTGTTGCCGAAGATAGCGCATCCCGACGAGTGGTTTCCCGTTTGCCCTTTGAAATCCAAGTAGGGGGTTGGCGGTGACGCCAAATTATGCCTAACGTCCACTTCGGATTCATAAGAATCGTGGTGCTAGTCAGCTCGGCTTGAAAAGCAGATCAAGCCTATGAGAAAGCAAGCTAGAGTTGACTCCGGTTCGGCCTGCACGGATGGCACAATTCCCTTTCAGTCGAAAAGGAAGGTCCAGGCAATTCACGGACTCGGAGGAATAGCGCCTTGCTGGCCCCGGACTGTAATCAGCATGTCGGATGAACAGTGGAGTGTTCACTCCGAGAGTGATACCAATGGCAAATGAGCCGAACTTCTCGTCAATGCCTCTTCCCAGTCCAGCTATCCGTTCCGTAGAAAAGCAGATGGATTCCATGTTGAATGGGGGGCCCAAACCAAAATATACTTTATTTGGGGGCCAGCTGAACAACTGGCTCCAGGGTCTCCCCAATAGCTATCCTGTATCAGTCCATGGCCCGCATACGCTGCGGCTGGGGTTTCCCTTTGAACCAAAAGACCTCATAGAATGCCCGCTTCATTAAGCAAGCCAACGGCAAACCAGCCAAATTCTGCACATGGCGGCATCGGAGAAGATATGAGATACTGATTCGCAAAGCATTTCGGTATCCGAATCAGCGGCAAGCACATGCGGAACAAGGCCAGCATTCCTCGTTACAACTTTCTAGGGAAAATGTTGATTCCCAACCTTGACAAGTGCTAAAAGAGTGCCAAAAGAGTGGAAACCACGGTTGCTACCGCAAATATATATATATTATATACATGGGATCGCTGGCTGCTAATTAAATAGGTGTCTGGAAAAGCTAAACGAATATCAATATGTTTGGCTTCATTTGCGGAAAATGATAAAACGGTCCTATGCACATCTAAAAGCGGCGGCTGGAACAAATGGATGAACATAAACAGAAACCAACCAACCAACCAACAAACAAACAGGTAAGCAACCAAACTAAGCCAAACCAAGCCAAACAAACAAATAGACACGCAAACACACAAAATCACACAAACAAACGAGCAAAGAAGCAACCCCAAACATACAAACAAACAAACAATCAAACAATCAAACAAACAAACAAGCAAACAAGGGAGCAAGCAAACAGACAAACAAACAAGCAAGCGAACAAGCGAGCAAGCAAACAAACAAGCAAACAAACAAATACACAAACAAACAAGCAAGCGGGCAAGCAAACAAACAAGCAAGCAAACAAGCGAGCAAGCAAACAAACAACAAACAAACAAACAAACAATCAAACAAACAAGCAAACAAGCGAGCAAGCAAACAGACAAACAAACAAGCAAGCAAACAAGCGAGCAAGCAAACAAACAGACAAACAAACAAGCAAGCAAACAAGCGAGCAAGCAAACAAACAAGCAAACACACAAGCAAGCAAACAAGCGAGCAAGCAAACAAACAAGCAAGCAAACAAGCAAGCAAACAAGCGAGCAAGCAAACAAACAAGCAAACAATCAAACAATCAAACAAGCGAGCAAGCAAGCGAGCAAACAAACAAGCAAGCAAGCAGACACACAAGCAAGCAATCAAACAAACAAACAAGCAAGCAAACAAGCGAGCAAGCAAACAAACAAGCAAACAAAACAAGCAAACAAGCAAGCAAACAAGCGAGCAAGCAAACAAACAAGCAAACACACAAGCAAACAAGCGAGCAAGCAAGCAATCGAGCAAACAAACAAGCAAGCAAACAAGCGAGCAAGCAAACAAACAAGCAAACAATCAAACAACCAAACAAACAAGCAAGCAAGCAAACAACAAGCAAACAAACAAACAAGCAAACAAGCGAGCAAGCAAGCAAGCAAACAAGCGAGCAAGCAAACAAACAAGCAAACAATCAAACAAACAAAAGGAAGCAAGCGAGCAAACAAACAAGCACACAAGCAAACAAACAAGCAAGCAATCACACAATGAAACACTCAAACAAACAAGCAAGCAAACAAGCGAGTAAGCAAAACAAACAAGCAAACAAACAAACAAGCAAACAAGCGAGCAAGCAATCAAGCAAGCAAACAAACAAGCAAACAAGCGAGCAAGCAAACAAACAAGCAAACAAACAAGCAAGCAAACAAGCGAGCAAGCAAACAAACAAGCAAACAATCAAGCAATCAAATAATCAAACAAACAAACAAGCAAGCAAACAAGCAAGCTTGCTACAAAGAGAACAAACGAGCAAGCAGCAGGCAGGCAGGCAGGCAGGCAGGCAGGCAGGCAGGCAGGCAGGCAGGCAGGCAGGCAGGCAGGCAGGCAGGCAGGCAGGCAGGCAGGCAGGCAGGCAGGCAGGCAGGCAGGCAGGCAGGCAGGCAGGCAGGCAGGCAGGCAGGCAGGCAGGCAGGCAGGCAGGCAGGCAGGCAGGCAGGCAGGCAGGCAGGCAGGCAGGCAGGCAGGCAGGCAGGCAGACAAGACTTTGTGAAGTCCTAGGCAAACCGAATAAACATCCCGGCGCGTCCAAACCTGTTGCAACCCTAAGGACCTTCTGCAGCAAAAGCAATCCACAACCGGGTTTCTAAGGCTTGAAAGGAGGCCTCTGTTTGCCGCATAAAGAGGGCTGAAGCCATGATTCAGCTAGCTTACATTCAAATCTCACTCATCAAGTTCACACTTGCTATTTACCCCTAAACTGGCTTTCCCAAAACGACTACCTGCCATGTGCTTACGGAGCGGGTAGCTCCTGAGCTTCCTCAAGATGAAGTCAAATTGGATGCCCCAGCTCCCTGACAGCTCAATCACCAGTCACCGTCCAGCAAGATTGTTGGAACAAGGAAGCTCACTTGGCCAGTGGCCAGCCATGTTCACTTTTTGGGCAACCACTAGTGACAAGGAGAGCCACCAAGGAAAAAAGTGTACAGTGTGTCCACTGGCTAGGTGAGGAAAACATCTTATACCGCACCCTTCAATGCCCCCCTCCATCCAACTAGCAGTCCAGCAACTGAGGTCGATTCCCTTCTTCCATTTGGTTAAGACCCCTGGAAAAATAGAAACCACAATCCAGTAGGGATAGATTCCCTTTAAAACTGACAGGGGAAAATCCAAAATATGCATTTCAGAAAATGGAGGCATTTCTGTTGGGGTTCCCCATTTGTTGACACACCCAATCCAAATCCTTATGTGGTTCCTCACCCCGCCCCCCCCCAAAAAAAAAAGAAAAGAAAGAAGAAACACTTTGGCGCAAAGTTTCCCCACGCCGAACCGTTCCGCCGAAGCCGCCGAGGCGCCGAGGGCAGCCTCTGCTGCAGCTGCGGCCCCACGTCCGCCCAGCCCTCCCCGGTGTCCCCTAGGCCGTGGAGCCAAATCACCGTGGCGTCGTGCGGAGCCACCGCGTCCTACAAAAGGAATCGTCCAGCATCCGTGGCTTTTTCAGCATCCGCATCCTACAAGCTTGCATTTGTGGTTTTTCAACATCCATCCTGTGGATGGCTGCGAAATCCATTTCGCACCACGTTGAAACCATTGGAAACCAGTGTTTCTTGGTATTTACAGGGGAAGCATCACCCCAGGGATTTTTAGGTGGTGCGAAATGGATTTCGTCCGTCCACAGAACGAAACCAATCGTCCAGCTCAGTCTCCGCCAGGGTGACGGTAAAATCTTGGTTGCCGTTCACCCCTCTGCAAAAAGCCTAATTCACGGGTTTCTCATGGAACACCCTTGATGTCCCAAAAAGTGTTAAAGTCTCAAGATCCAACCCAACAGCAATTAAGACATGACCTTTTGGTTGCCAAGTGAATTCTGTTGAGGCTCCTAATTATTCTTCCCACCTGTACCGCCAACCAACCAAACGAACAAACAAGCAGGCAAACAAACAAACAAATGGACGGACGGACACACACACACACACAAACACACGAAAAACACGTGACACAACCAGCAACAAACCAACCAAACAAACAAACACACAAAACCACAAACACAAATCTCAAACAAAACTCAAACAAACAAACAAAAACAACCAAACCAGGAGGCAGGCAGGCAGGCAGGCAGGCAGGCAGGCAGGCAGGCAGGCAGGCAGACAGAACAAGGTACCAAACAAACACACAGACCAACAAACAAACAAAGAAGAAACAAAAACACAATACAAAGCAAATAGGCAAAGGAACCTGGCCCAAACAAACCCCAAACAAACATCCCACTTCCGATTTTTCGGCTGAATTCTGCGAGGCTCTACTGCGTAGAGGGGGCCAAACTCATAGCCGGCGGCTGGCCGAGCGATCCTTGGCCAGTTGCAGGATGGGCGCTGTGGTTTTCCGTTGGATGTGAAAGACAAAGTGGTGTAGAAGCGGGTGTAGAAGCGGCCGGGGGGCACCCAACATGACTGGTGGCCAACCATCCTGTCCATCAGTGAATTAGTCCTAGAACCACTGAATTGTGGATTGGAATGGCGATCTGAGCTCCGAGATCCGCCCAAGTTCCTCTTGAAAAACTGGAAGGTGCCCCTGAAATGTGGCTTGATTTGATTGCTTCCCCTCGCCAATGGGTTTGCTGTCGTTTTGATCATCCTCGGGGCAACCCGGACCTTGAAGCCTTGTCCGCTCAAAACCTGGGCCCGCGGCACCTGTGTTTTGACGCAGCCTGATTTTTCGGCACTTTGGGCGGCTCACCCTAGGATGAAACCACGTACCCTTGGATACCACTGGGCAAATGCCTGTAATTCACCAACCCGAACTAAGGGCCCTGCAAATTCACATGGGACCAAAAAACATGATTGCCCAAATGGAGATTCCTGTAGACGTACAGCAACGATGTTGATCGGAAGTTCATACAACCCGCAGTAGTACTGCAGCTCCGCGCACATCTACGAATCGTTGGACACATGCGGCACTTTAGGTTGTTCCGGGTACAGTTTGACACTTGGTGATGTTCTTTTTCTTCGGGGGAAAGACGGCGCCCTGTGGGGTGAGTTTTTCTAGGGGTGATGTTTGTAGGTTGGACACATGGGGAACCCAGTTACAGTCCCATTTCGGGAGAGGTTCTCAAGCTTAACGTGTGGTTGCTTCGGAGCCAGGTTTTCAGTGAGCATGTTTGGAGGTCTCATTGTTCTCACTTGTTCAAAGCCGACCTTTTGACCTTTTGGCTCCCCAATAATGATGGCCAATTTTTAGTTTCCAGCCTCTTTGGGCAATTGAACAGGGATCCTTACATTATACGCCTGAACATTGCCTCGTAAATGGTGGTTTCCCTTCATTTTGGTGGAATAAAACATGTTTCAAATGGGCAAAATGTATCTTTTAAGGAGCCCTGCTGAATCATATGTCATGTTCAACAGGAGGGGCCGACAAGCTGCGATCCAACCCTGCGGACTCACAGTGCATTCCTGGAAGACGCTTTTCCTTGCCGGGTTCCATGCAGAGCAGTCAAGTGGTCAAGCGCGGGCTCTTCTCGCTTGCCGAAAGGATCTGGAAATAAAAAGTGATCACCTTTTGAGACCTTTACTCAACATGGTCCGAATCAGGGAAACCAAAAGGTTCAAAGGTCAGCTTTGAGCAAGTGAGCCTTTGCCAAAGTATATATCCAATTTGTCACTTGAGCAAGTGGAACCCCGAATTTGAAGTCCGTGCCCGCCCGCCTGCCACATTCGCAGAAACCAAGGTGCAGCCATCCTCGCCACGGCATCGAGAAGGGGGCAAAGGAATACATCTGCGCAAAAACCCGCGATGGTAAATTCGAAAACCAAACGAAAGTGCTCAAGGTTTTATCGGGTGGTCTTTTGCCGCCCTTTCAACAAAATGCAAACTACTTGAAGTGTTCCGTGCATTCTTAAAACACGTCGCTTATTTGTGTTGTACTCTTTTACTGCCCTGCAGTGGCAGCAAGCCACAAAAAGGCAACGTCCAATCCGCATCAGGATTGCGGACAGCACGCTTCCTGCACAACAACCCAAGCCCCATACTCAAAAGGGGTCGTCCACGGTCTTCGTGGGCATAACCAGCACCACTCCTTGGCTCTCCTCCAGCGTGCCTGGGCGAAGGCTCTGGCCACAGGTTTGTATTTTGAAGCAATTGTTGCAAGACCCTCTGCCTGGTTTGCCTTGAAAGGGGCCAAATGTTTCCTTGGGTCAATTGAGATTGGCGTTTTCAGGAAATCCTCCTTGTTTTCGGCCGTGTTTGTCCCAAAATATGGGACCAACAAATACGGTGCTTTCCGTTTGGTTACTCTTCAAAACCAAACCAAACAAGGTTCCCTGAAAAGACCCTTTCAAACTTTCTGGGGCCGACGAGCCTTGGTTGGCTTTGTCCTATTGGGCGAGGCCTTTTGTCTTAGGTGGGCCTTTTGACCCTTTGCTGCTTCAGGAAATGCAGGGATGCCCTCCCTTGAAGTCAATAGTGGAGGATCAAGTGTATTTTTCCCAAGCAAAATCCAAAAGGCAAGCCAGTTTAAAACAACCGGAAAAAGGGGTACCATCAAAACAAAGACACTCCTATATAGCCATGCTTAAAGAATATTGGTTGGTGTGGTGCAATCTCAGGGCCGAGTCGGTTTTTCGGCCAAATTCCATGGACCGCTGAATTGGATTCCCCCAACTGTTTCCCCCCTCCAATTCAAACATATAAACACATTTACTTGTTTGACAACTATATTTACTGCACCTCACAAAGCTAAAAACAAAAACAAAATGCATGTCTCAGTTGCCCAGTTTGGACCCAGAAAAAAAAGAAAGCTGATCACCTCCTGGGGCCACCGATGTTTGTTGTTGTTGTTTTTTTCCAGTTGCCAAGCATGGGACACCAAAAATCGGTCAGAGCCGGTCGCTTCGCTTTGGGTGACGTTTGGCCCCGTTTCGCCCGTTTCGGTCCGCGCCTCGGACCCGAACACCTGGAAGCTGCGCGCGAAGGTCCCCGCCGAAAGGGCGAAGAGCGCTGGCAGCCCTCCTGGCCGCTGGTGGCTGGACGGAGGGGAAGCGCCGGAAAAGTGGCGCTGAGCCGCCTTGGGCTTGAGGTGTGTGGTTTGAGGTGTCTTTTGGTTGTTGCGTCGAAGCTTTCTCCAAGTCTGGCGCGGAGTATGGGTCGAAGGTTGGTCCCTTCGAAGAAAATGATTGAATTGGCAAAGGCAACCAACCCCGACTCATTCCCCTGGCCCAGCGGCAAAAGCGGTCAGTCCAGATTTCCCGGAGCAGCTCGCCGCTTGTCTGCTGGACGCCAAGGAAACGCATGCCACACGAGGTCAACAAACAAAATATAGAGTTGGAGCCGGCAAACGCCTGAGCACGAGCTCACTCAGCCCGCCCGGCGAACCCGAGTCGGTCCTCGCCAAGATGTCACCAGCCTCTTGGCCGGTTGATCTCCCGCAAAGCAAAGGGTGTTGCAAAGGCAACAAGTTTTAGCTACACTTGGCCGCTGGGGTGCAACACAAAATCTGTTCTGACTGTGCGCCATATTTTGCCAACCCCAAAATATACATAATTTCTGAGGAGACCGCAAGCACAGGGGGGAGCAAGCGGAAAGCTTGAACATTAAGCCATGTTGCCTGCGCAAACCACCAAACGACATTGCACCAAAGCTGCTCAAAGCCACTTGCCAGCAGCCCCAGACGCCTCCCAAAAAAGGACCTTTAGCCACCTTAGCCCTAGCGGTGCTGGAAGAGAAACTGCGGGTTCGAATTCCAACACGCTGATCCCTTGCAGGTGCCCTCGCAGCATAAATGACGTTCCTCTCAACGCGGTTTGTAGTTAGCAAGAAGCAAGAGGGATGGAAACGCTTATCAAAATAAGGAATCAGTCCAGGCGGTCCGCAAAAAAAAATCGGGCACCGCCGAAACAACCGGATTCCCCCAAAAAGGCTGCACGTCACACCCTTTGGCGTCACACCCCATCCTTCTTACAACGGTGCGTGACCCGGGCCCGCCGAGTCAGAGAGCGCCAACAGCTCATCGATTCAGCTACAGAAGTGGGGATTGGTGTTTGCGTAACTGGTTCAGTTTCAAACAAAAGTTCGGCCGGTTCGGACCCTTTCAATTTGTTCTTTGGCCCTGAAGCTGCGCTGTTCCTTGTTCTTCCCTTCGCTCAGCCGAACGTATTGCTCGGTGCCGCTGATGAGCAGTTGGCACGGCACCGAATCAGACCTGCTTGAGGCTGCTACAAAAGCCCCCATCTCCAGGCGGGATGGAGTGAAAGTCAAGCTGTATGTGGAAAGGCCTCCCATTATGCGATGTGAAAATGACTCTGTCAGGGATTATGAGCAAATGTGGTCTGTTCTTTTGCGTTTTTTTTTTTTCCTCTGGGATGTTTTCCCCGTTTTGTTGGGAATTTCTCCTGGATTTTCTGTCTTGGAACTGGCAGGTGCGATCTCCCTTGGTTCTGCTTGGTTTGACTCGTTTTGCACCAGCGCTGTCAACATCCCATCGGTTTAGCTCGGCAGCATCCTTTTCAACATCCTCAGCATGACGGGTTGGCTTTGTTAGGCTGGGTTTGGGATGGGTTCAAGGTCGGCTAGGGTGGGTTCAGGGTGGGTTCCAGGCTTGTTTAGGGTGGCTACGCTTTAGGTACTGGGATGGTTCAGTGCTGATTTATGGTGGGCGTCTTGGGGGCTGAGGGGGGGTTAGGGATTGGTTTTGGGGTTGCTTTAGGGTGGGTTTAGTGGGGGGTTAGGGTTGGTATAGGGTTTGCTTAGGTGGGCGTGGTTTAAGGCTTGTTTAGTGCGGACTTAGGGTTGGTTTCGGGTGGGGTTAGGGTGGGTTTAAGGATCGGCTTAGGGGGTTGGGGGTTTAGAGTTGGTTTAGGGCAGGTTTGGAGTTGGTTTAGGGATAGTCTATTGCTGGTTTAGAGTGGGTTTGTTTAGAAGATTCTTTACAAAGTCTTGCTGGTTTAAGGTTTCTTTAGGGACTGATTAGTACAGCTTTCAGAATTCATCTGAAGTTTCCCACACATTTTCTTATTCAATCTGAGCATCTGAAATAAGACATGGATCTGCCAGAAAAGGACCTCCAAAATCGGTGGAATGGCTCTCCCTCCCTGCCTCCGGCCGGAAGTGCGCGCACCGGCCATGGCGCGCGCGCTCAAAGCGTGCGGAGCGCGGGGATTCGGGATTGGCCCAGAGTTTGTGCCAAGCGCTTATCTCTAAAATGGCCTTCCCTCACAAAAGACTGCAACCCAAAAACCCTCAGATGCCTTGTCTTCCCCCCACACACGCCACCAACGCAAACATGTCCCGCGATCTGCAAACATCCGTGTTGCCACTTCCGTGCCTATACCAATGTGAACAGACACACACACGCACATATAGACATATCTGTAGCGAATTGATATACATAATATATATATATATATATATATGTCTATGCACAACATATGGTGAAATAATGGTCGCGCTGCCGCAGCAAACGACGATTCAGCAGTTGATTCCTCACCGTGTAGACGGCCCTATGTTCCGAGTCAGGCAACACAGGCGCTGGATGGATGAACAAAAAGCCTGAGATGGTTCGACGATCTTTTTGGTGGAAAAGCTAACGCCGTGGCTCAGACTCTGAGCACAGTCGCGGAAGCAAAAAAAACGGCGATAGCACAGACAGCACAGTTTGTTGCCAGGTTGCCAAAAAGCAACAGTAACAGCTGCAAAACAAATGGATGCGCAACGTGTGGGCGCTGACAAGATGGTGACCCCTGTCAAGCCAACAAAGGGTGTGCAGGTTTATCGTTTTGCTCTTCCAAAAGGCGGGTCCGTATGTTTCCCTTTTCCAAAACGCACCGAGAAGACAGCCCTATCCGGAGATTCACTGACTCGGAGACCGAGTTTGTTAGCACCCGCTCAGATTCCCAGATCCTTTGGCAGCTAATCAAAGAGAGTGTCATCACATCGTCCCTTTCATGGATATTTTGGCATGAAAGGAAAGCAGAGGAACTTTCAACCCTTGGTGCTTCGTCCCACAAGCTCACTTCCTCGAGTGGGCCAACTGAAAGTCCGAGTTGCTTGTTCGCCAAAGAAATGATCCCACAACAAAGTATGAATGTCAAAAAGTCCAGCACCTCTTGTGCTTGTGTCGGATTGGTCTGGCCAGTGCAGAAACTCTGCGAGTCAGGGACACGGACATTGAGAATGTCTCCCTAACCAGGCGACGCCTGCGCTGCCAGGTCGCTCGTGGGCGTCAGCCTAGCGAGCTTCCCTGGTGAGATGACTGGAAGTTGAAGCCCACCAACATACAGCTCAAAGTCTGGCCACTCAACAGGTAAGTTGCCACCCACTTGTTGGCTTTTGTCTGTTTGGGCACCTTTCACGTCATAGCAAGGATTCAACAGTCTTGAATGAATTTTGTCAAGACGAAACCCCCTTGTCGGCTGCTTGAACTGAAAACCCGAAGAAAATTGATCATCTTGGGGTTGGCCTGTTTTGAGACACACCCAAGCGGGCCCCATTTTGCATCCTCAGAAACCGGTAGGGTTGAGGAACAACATGGCGCCAGTTTCCGACCTTGATTCGAAGCCGGTTTCGGGCATGGGTTTTGGAGGTTTGGATGCCTATGTGCCACCAATACAAGCTTGTAACCCAGTAGTGCACACTTACTCATACAAGTGGTGTATATGCAAAACCCACCCTTGATTGCTACCGGATACCTCGGTAGAGAGCGAAAAGACCTAACATCAAGCCACATGACAGCTGCAAAGCCAAGAAGCGTGCGACATGACGAGCCAAAGGACAGACCCCAGTGGCCATAATGTTGACCCAGGATTAATAAACCCGTCCCATTATTAGGATTTATTAGGGGGGCGTTCCCTCCAAAAGTGATGAATCCCCACCAAAAGGGGACACCCCCGTATTAATCAACCAGGGGTTTATTAATCCAGGGTTAACACTAGACAAAACTGTACAGGTTTTCGAGTTGATAAATGGCACTTGTTTTTCCCAACAGCTGAAAGCTTGGGGGTCTCTGCCCAGAGAGGTTCTGGATAACACATAGCCCCTACTCCAAATACCCACTTTTGTGTAAGGTATATTTCCAAAAACCTGGGTTTCCATAGTCAATACCCTTCTTTTTAGTAGAGGGTCGACATGATACCCTTAAAAAAAGGTATTGGGGCGTAAGGGGTAGCCCCAAAGAGGTACCCTCAGAACACGCCGCGCGAGACACATCGCTTCACTGCCCCGAGGCCGCAGCACCACCCACGGCCGGCTTCCTCAAAAAAAAGAGACGCGCGGGCTTCGGGCATGTCCGAGCGCCAGGCGATGGCTTGGCTTCCCTTCCAGTTGGTTTGGATGTTGGTGGTTTGGAGGTGTTCCGGGGGTGGCTCCAAAGGCTCAAATCTCCCAAATCCCCAAAACCACCAATCGAAACCACCAACTAAGGGTAAAGATACCTTTGGATTAGCCCTGAAAAGCCCGCACCAATCACCAATCAGAATAATTTCTTTTTAGCAAGGAACCATCCTTGTTTCGTCTGATTCCAGACGATCTTTTTCTTGAGCCAGGCTTTCCAAGCTTCTCTCTCTCTACCGTTGCATCCAGCTTCAAGGTCCTCCATTTTCAGTCAGTTGACATCATGTGCAAGTGCGTGCTGGAATTTTCGGGACCCAGCCAACGGCTTGGAACGTATCCAGGGCCGCTTTCGGAGGGCCCTAAACCTTTGGGGCATGCTGGGAGGATAGCCCCTCAGGTATCGACCCGGTCAGCCGAGAAAGGGACCTTTCAGCCGACCCTCATATCTTTGAAAGTGATTTGCAACCAATCGGAAAGAATTGCAACAGGAGGCAATCATGACACAAACCAATCAGATGCGCTTCACGTTTTACGCGACCTGTCAAAAACGCACACACACACACAAACACACAAACACGCAAAAAACACAAAAAACACAAAAAACAAACACACAAACACAAAAAACAAACACAAAAAACACAAAAACACAAAAACACAACAACAAAAAAACACAAAAACACAAAAACGCAAAACACACACAACCACACACAAACACACAAACACACAAACACACAAACACACACACACACACACACACACACACACACACACACACACACACACACACACACACACACACACACACACACACACACACACACACACACACACACACACACACACACACACAAACACACACACACACACACAAACACACAAACACACAAACACACAAACACAAAAACACACAAACACACAAACACAAACACAACACAAACACAACACACACACACACACAGGCTTTGATTCTGTCCAAGTCAAAGACTAGCGGGCGAAGAATGCTACAACTCGACTTGACTCTCCTGGAAACCTGGCAAAACAAAAACAAGCCCAGGCCCGGTCACAAGTAGCTGAACCCAAACATGGTGTTGGCTTGGTGCACCTTCAGCCTGCAGAAGTGACTGATGGATCACTGCTGATTTGCTAAAAAAACAAACAAACAAAACAAAACAGGAACACCAGACCTTCAGTGGCCACTTATTGCTTCGTTTTTCTTGCAACAATGTGGGGGGCATGTCATAAGGCCGAGAATGGCGTCAGCAACTGGATAATTCACAAGACTTCAGGCTACATCCAAACCGCAACTCGTGCTGGGTTGCCCGGCTCTGCAGCGGGTTGGGCGCGTCCGGGTCTTCTATGGCCGCTTGCTTGGCTCGATCCTGGGCCAGGCGAGCCTCTTGTAATTCTTCCGGAGGAGTTCTTCCCCCAGGCTTACTTGGTTCACGTTGGAAGGGGAGCAAACATTTGAGTTTTAGCAGTTAACCGGGGATTTCCCACTAAACCACCATAAGCAAACACAATAAGATGTTTCCGATTTCCCACTAACCCACAATAAGCAAAAATGCAAAATGTTTCCCAACAACAACCACGCTTCGGCCTTCTGGCACCCCGGCTGCGTGACGCTGGGGCCTCTGGCGTGCAAGTGGTAAATGCGATTCACCAGCGGCAGCAGGTAGGCCTCGGGATCTTCACTCCCAACTCGCTCATCCGGCAGGCTGACGAAGTACTCCGGGGTCAACAAGAATTATCCGGGAGAATTGCTTGAAACCCCCAAGCTTCTGCAAGACTTGGAGCCTTAAGAATGGAATCCCCATGTCTGAACAAGATGCAGGGCGCAGTTCAGATGCGGCTGGTACCAGCTAGCCTTTGGAGCATGAACACGGAAAAGGGGTAGCACGACTTAGACCAGAGTTTTGGAGTGCTGTTACACCAAAATGAGTCATGATCATTAGAGTAAAAATGTAGTAGTAATTGTTTAGGCCCTTTGTTCATTCAGGACGCTCTGACCAAATAGTGCCCTTGCTTGCGGCCAATCAAGCCACTAGCCTTTGAGCGATCAGTGAGTAGTGAGTTGAAAGCGCGAGTCCAAAGCCTTTGGGATAGCTTCTTCGTCCGAGAAGCCTGTCGTGACCATTCCAAGTGCCCTGCGCAAAATGCAGGGGTGGCCAACCTGCAGAAAGACCATTGCACAGGGACCCCACGTAACCCAAGGAAAGGATTCAGGATTGCCCTTGACCAGCCCAGTCCTCAGCTTGAGCTTGCTTTAGCCTCCGCTCGCCAACAAAACTGCAAATCCTACGAATCCCGTGGTTCGGCTGCATTCGAAGAAACCAATAATCCTTGTGCCTGATGGCCCAACTTCCACAACATGTCCCTGCTTCGGTCGCCTTTGGCGGTTCCAATTTCAAAGCTCCAGGTGTATTGGTGCAAACCGCTGCTCAAGTGACAAGTGCACCAAAGACCGGAAAATCATTCAAATTTCACTGGGTGTTAAACAGGTCCGGAAAACCCCTCCTGTTTCGGTTCCTTTTCGGGAGCCAGGTTTCGGTTCTCTGAAAGCTCGAAGCCTGTCCCCGGGCCCCGGGCCAAGGTCTTGCCGGAGCCCGTCTCGGAGCCTGAAGCAGTGGGAGGGACAAGGGGGACGAGGGAACTTCACATGGGCCACTTTCGGTCTGAACCTCGGTCATTACAATGGTTATTGAGGATTATTGAGGATTCTTACTTGGGTGCGGTAGATCCCCCAGCAAAAAGTTGCTAACTTTTTGCTGGGTAAAAGGAAATATGAGGGGAGTCCAAAAAGTTAAAGTCTAAAGATCCAACCCAATAGCAGTAGAGCTTACTACCAGGCGGACCACCACCCTGGTCAACCCC